AGTAGAAGAGCTGTATTAAGAAATTTCCCTCCACCACATCGATGATGACCAGGTGGCTGTGATGGTTAACGTCATGGGTCCATTTGGTTAGGTCATGGTGATCAGTGGTTGCGCAGTTAGGTAAGAATGTAGTGTGAAAAATACGTGACGATGTAGTTATCCTCCATTTTGCTCCATGACGTAGTCACGTCCAGAAGGTGATCTGGTGTAGGCACCGTCGGTTTTAAGAGCCAGTGCAAAGTCGCTGCCATGGAGTCAATGACAACTCAGAGAGACCCTGTAAGGCAGGGCAGAACTGCCCCTGTGCGTTTCTGAGACTATTTACTGGAGTAAACAGACTTCCTCGTCAGGCACGGCTGATGGGTTCGAACCACAGACCTTGCAGATCACAGCCCAATTCATAACCACTATGCCACCAGGGCTCCTGGTGCTCCTGGGTCTGGGATACTCACATTCAGTAAGGCAGATGGGTAAACACGAGGGAGTTTCAAAACCTACGTGGGGAAATGTCCATTATCTTTTCAGCCCGTGTTTCCATGAGCTTTTGGAAGGCTCTCCTGACCTTCTCCACGTTGTTTATTTTTTGAGAAGCACTCGGCTGCCTTTACATTGGCCTCTGCCTTACGGCGCCCCTCGCGTCACCGAGTGAAACTGCTCTAGAGGGTGTTCTTGGGAACTCTGGTAGCTAGCAGGCTACTCGACGGGGGTGCAAGGTCGGCAGTTTGAAACCACCAGCAGCTCCTCGGGAGAAAGAGGAGGCTTTCTCCTCTCAGAAGGCGCTAGCTGCTGTCTCGGAAAGCCACAGGGGCACTTCTGCCCTGTCCTATAGGGTCCCTGGAGGTCCGCTTCAGCTCGATGGCGGGGAGCTTGGTTGGTTTTATCTTTACGGAAAGGAGCCCTGGTGGAGTGGGGGCTGCATGTTGAGGTGCTAACCTCAAGGTCACTGGTTTGAACCCACCAGCCGCTCTGTGGGCTATCCGCTCAGTAAAGATGTCAAGTCTCGGAACCAGGGCCAGTTCGACTCTGTTCTCCAAGGTCCGAATGAACTGTACAGTGGAGTGTCTGTCGGGTTTGGGGTTTTCTCCATGGAAGCCGACTGATGCGGAGGCCTTT